TGAGACAGGAGCCACCCCCCAAGGTATGTGTTCCCTGTTCACAGGGGCTGGAGTGGCAGAATATGGGCGCACAGCAGGCAACTTGGACCACTCGTTCCAGACACCTGGCCATGGGCAGAGAAGCGCCAGAGCTCTGGTAGCAAATTAGATGCAAAGCCGGTTCTCCTGGCTCTTGGCTCCAAACTGGACCCCCTGCTTGGAAATCTTTGACTCTCTAAGGAAGGGTAGCTCTAGCATTAAGGCCAAAGTCATGCAACAGATAATTATTCAGCACCTCCGTGTACTTGGCCCTGCCCTAGAAGCCCTGAGCGAGGCAGATGTGGTTCCTGTTAGCTATGGTCACAGCCCATCAGCTAGACAAATGATAAGCAAGTCAGTGAAAACAGAAAATGGTTATGAATCGTGCTGAGGGCCACGCAAGGAAACAGGGTGCTGAGATGGAGATGACCGTGCTGGGAGGGGCGGGCGTGCATCGCAGGTGAGAAGGCCGCGAGGACCTCTCTGAACGGGCATCGTTCTCACTAAGACCCGACAGCCGAGGCAGAGGCCCTGGGCTGGGCAAGAGCTTGGTGGTTTTGAGAAACTGAGAGCAGGTGGGCAACAGTGGCTGAGCCAAGGTTGGCGGGGTAGGGAGGGAGCAGGCCCTGAAAGGCCTTGTGGACAGAGCATGTGAGGTTTATTCAACATGCAGTGGGAAGAAAGCTGATCACTGTAAGCAGGAGCTGATAGGATACACACTTTAACCACTTTGGCTCTGCGCTCACCGGCCGCGAGGCCTTGCCCACAGCCGGCACTCACAGTCCGCACGACAGTTTGTGCTGTGCATTGACAACGAATCCATTTTTGCTCTTGTGTGATGAGGAAAGCTTCAAAGCACTGAAAGCTTGTTTTACTTTACAGGCAGCTGTGCTTGTAATGTAAATCAGAATAGGTAACGTATACATATATGTTTTTATTGCTTTATTTTTAAATGTTCACAATTTTATTTTGATAAATGAAAAATTAGAAAAGTCATATCACGGCTGTCGGCTAAAGTCGCTGTGCACGTTCATCTGTGGCTACCGACTATAGTCGACGCTGGTACCGAAGTGGTTAAAAATAAGATCCTTGAGAAACATGGGTGTTCTGTACTGTTTTTAAGGTACTCAATGCTTATTACATACTGGGCACTATGTTAAGCTTTTTATAAACATTATCTTGTCTAATACTTTCAACAGGCCTGAGTTGGATAAAATGTACCCATTTTACTGGATAGTAAACTGAGGCTGAGAGAGTAAAGTAACTTAGCCAAAGCAGGTAGCAGGGGTAGGATTGAAAAACTCCATCTTTCTGACTCTAGTACTTTGCCTCTATTTTGTTTTCTATCCCCCCCACTTTTATAACATTAAAAAATTGTGATTGTATATATATTTATATATATATATAAACATAAAATTTGTCATTTTTGGGGTATTGCAACTGGTTTTAATTTGAATAATTTTGGCCATATCTTATAGATTTAACACATCATAGTACATTACCGGTAATATATATTCCACCAGGAAAACTTTTGGCACAGAGAATACAGGTAGCAGCATGTGATCTGAAAAAGAACTTGCCCAGAAGTCATAATTTTTTTTTTTTTCCTGAGGCAGGGTTTTCCTCTGTCACCCTGGCTAGAGTGCAGTGATGTCATCATAGCTCACAGCAACCTCAAACTCCTGGGCTCAAGCAATCCTCCCTCCTCAGCCTCCCAAGTAGCTGGGACTACAGGTGCACCATAACTCCTGGCTAAGTTTTCTATTTTCAGTAGAAAAATAGTACTCAGGTGCTCAGGCTGGTCTCAAACTTCTGACCTCAAGTGATCCTCCCATCTTGGCTTCCCAAAGTGCTAGGATTACAAGTATGAGCCACCGTTGCTGGCCCAGGATTCATAATCTTTGCTTCTTTCAAGCAAGCTTGCTTTTGGTCCTGTGTTAGTTCCCATCCTTTGGCCTTTGGGTATGCTATTCTCCCTAACTGGATGGCTTTCCTTGATTCTCTTGGCCTTTGGAAATATAATTGTTTTTTTTTTCTGTGATTAAAGGAAGCTATATATAAAAAAGAAAGCTGTATTGAGTTAGAGGAATTTTTAGATATTTGACTTACAATGAGAAAGAAGAAAAGAAGTCAGGATGTTATAATTTAATAATAAATTTCAGTAGAGTGACATGTTACAGTTCATCAATCCATACTTATTAAGAATTCAGAGTGGTCAGAATGGTATTAGGTATTAGGAACACGCAAAAACATTTTAGCAATAGGGAGATATAAATATAAAATGAGGGCACAGAGCGCTAAGGAGTAATGAGAGTAGAGTGCAGTTAATCAGAGGAGGAGTGGGAGGACAGAGAAGGCTGAGAAAATTTGTCATTTGAACCATTTTAAGTATACAATTCAGTGGCATTAATTACATTCTCACTGTGAGCAACCTTCACTTCCATCTAGTTCCAAAACTTTTTCATCATGCCAAACAGAAGCTCTGTAACATCTCCCCATCCCTCCTTCCGTGCCCCCAGCCCCTGGTAAACTGTCATCTACTTTCTGTCACTCATATGAATTTGCCTATTATAGACATTTCATATAAGTAGATTCAGGCAATATTTGTCCTTTTGTTTCTGACTTCTTTCACGTGGCATAATGTTTTCACCACAGCATGTATCGTTCCTTTTCAGGGCCAAATAATATTCCACTGTATGGATAGATCTCATTTTGTTTATCTCTTCATCACTTGGATTGTTTTCACCCTTTGGCTATTGTGAATGCACATTGGCATATAAGTGTCTCTGAGTCCCTGTTTTCAATTTTTTAGATATATACCTAGAAGTATAATTGCTGAGTCCTGGGGTAATTCTATATTTAACTTTTAGAGGAACTGCCAAACTGTTTTACATAGTACCTGCACCATTTTATTTTCCTGTCAACAATGCATGAGAGTTCTGATTTCTCTACATTTTTGCTAAGACTTGTTTTCCACTTTTTTTTTGGGGGGGGGAAGAGGTGTGGTTTGGATTGTAGCCATCCTAGTAAGTGGTAGCTCATGGTGGTTTTGATTTGCATTTCCCAAATGACTCATGATGTTGAACTTCTTTTCATTTGCTTTTTGGCCACTCATATATCTTCTTTGGAGAAATGCCTATTCAAGTCATTCACCCATTTTTTAAAATTAGGCTGTTTGTCATTTTGTGGTTGAGTTGTAGTTGTGTTTTTTTGTGTTCTGGGTTTTGAACCTTTATCAGATATATGATCTGCAAATATTTTCTCCCATTTTGCGGGTTGTATTTTCACTTTCTTGATAATGTCCTATGACGCACAGAAGTTTTTAATTTTGATGAAGTCTAATTTGTTTTTCTTTCGTTGCTCATGCTTTTGGTGTCCTTTCTAAGAATGCACTGTCAAATCCAACATCATGGGTGGAGATTTACCCCCGTGTTTTCTTCTGTTTTTCCTCACTTGTAACCATCAAATTCTCACGTAGATTTCAGGTCATTCATTTCATCAGCTAACATCAGAAACTCGGGAAGCTCAGCTAAGAAAGGTGTGGTGGTTGCCCGGAAGGGACTCACAGAGTAGTGGGGGAAACAGACCTAGTGGTGACCATGCCATGATGATCGATGCCATTCATGCCCGGATGCCAATGGGAGGATCTTTCCTGGCCCACCAATGTTTTAGAAAAAAAAGATTTAAAAAAGCAAATTTTTCATAAGACTAAATATATTCAGTTTAAGAAATGGTCCCTTATTATGCAAGTGGTTCCTTTCTATTGAACTAGAATGTTCTTGTGACCCGGAGGCTGAGAGTAAATGGGGACAGTTTCTTTTAATGGCTCTACCTGGCACATTAAAAGTGATCAACCCTGTGTCAGACTTCCACATTTGAGAAGGAAATTAGAAAACCATGAAATGCAAGAGGGTGCAGGCCACCGCAGATGCCAGGGTCCATTCATGTGGCCCGCGTGTGGGGCTCTCAGCCTGGGGGTTATAGGGAAGGCTTCATGGGGACCGTGTCCAGATTCACTTTCTTTCTCAAATATCTGACCTGTTTCTGCTTTAATCGTCATCTTTGCACCACAGTTTTAGAAACGGAGAATCAGGAAAAAGCAGAGCAAGCCCAGGTTGGAAGGGCTGCTTCTTAACCTGAGTTCCTCTGGGCAATCTCTAATTGATTCCTCATATAGCTTTTGCCCACATGGTTTTCTTTTTACTTAAGGTATATGTATTAAAAAGAGGAAAAGAGAAAGAAAAACTCCTGCCCGGAAAGGGATACTTTTTTTCTCACGGGAAAGAACACTTGGTTGTACTTGGGGACTGAATGAAGTTGGGCTAATGAGTTCACCCTTGTATAACAGCGAAATTCTCCCAAACATACTAATTAAGGTACTTTTTGTCTTTTCTGTTGGTTTTAGCTTTGAAGGTACTATGAAAATGGCATGCTGTGAAATTGAGGAGCCAAGTTTGGAAGAAATGACATAGCCTCTACTTGGCAATCGGCCTTGCACTTGAATGGCCTAGTCTAGAGACTGATCTCCAAACTTTTTTGATGGCCCACATGCCGGGGCTGTGCTGTATAGTTGTGCAGTGGAATGGCTCCCCCTGGAGTTGTGCAGTGCACAACCTACGTAGCTGTAAGCAGTGGCCTGATGTACTCCAACAAAAATAGAAATGAGCATAGACACCCAAGAGATGTGTACTTGTTTACAAAGTATATACATGCTCTGCTGTTAATCCAATTAGATGATAGGTTGAAGAAACACGATTTCTTTTTTTTTTAAAGATAAAAATAAAAATGAATAGCAGTCATAATGAATTTCATCTGTGCACCAATGGATGGTTTTGAACACTCCCTGGGGTAGGCCACCTCACTTTGGCAATGTCGGCCCAGGAAGAATTCACACGGGTCTTCTCTTTCCTCGCAGTAGAGTACTTAAGGATCTCACCACTCCCTGCCCGGACCTGGCCTTACCTGCTGGCTTGTCATTTCAGAGTACACGGTCATTAATGAGGCCTGCCCTGGAGCCGAGTGGAACATCATGTGCCGCGAGTGCTGTGAGTACGACCAGATCGAGTGTGTCTGCCCCGGAAAGAAGGAAGTCGTGGGCTACACCATCCCTTGCTGCAGGAATGAGGAGAACGAGTGTGACTCCTGTCTGATCCACCCAGGTGAGCGTGGAATGGGAGACCTCGGGTGACTTCATGTTGTCCGAGGTAATGAACGGGAACAGGCCGAATGCCTGAATTCCAGCGGGCAGCCACCAGGAGGCTGTGGTGCCACGATTATTAAAAGTGACACAATTCAGCCCAGTCTAACTGCAGGCATGGGAATTAAACGGGTCAGTACTCTTTTAGGTGCTGAACTTGTAAAGCTGTGAATTTATTCCTTCATTTAACAAGCAGACTGAATAGCTCCTATGTACCGTGTCAGGCAGTGGGAATACAATGATTAGGAAAGGAAAAAAAGACGCACTCCAGCATGGCCAGAGCTCACAGCCGGGAGGGCAGAGGGAGAGCGGGCGGCTACCACACAGCCACACTGCGCGGCGAGTGCTCCACAGAGAGGCGCAGGGCCCCAGGCAGCGTGGATGGGAATGGGGGCAGGTAGGAGGAGGCTCCATGAAGACTTACCGGGGGACGTGGTGTGCACGCTGGGGGCAGGAGGAGCAGACTGGAAAGGGTGAAGGGGACCTGGCGGAGAGGTGGAGCCACAGAGGATAGCATGTGCCAAGGCCCTGTGGCAAGAGGGAGTGTGAGGTCTGGGAAATTGCAAGTAGCTCTGTCTGGCAGGAGAAATGTGTAGATGATGGGAAAGATGGAGGGAGGAGGGGGAGAGAGAGAGAGCCAGCGTACATGGGAGGAGGAGGGGGAAGGGAGGAGGAGAAAGAAGATTAAGAGAGTAATCTGAAGGAGGGAACAGGAGCCAGATCCCAGAGGACTGTGTAAGCTGTGCTGTGATGTTTAGGTTATTTCCTGAAGTTATTTTGGTGACATTGGAGATCTTTTAGTAAAGAGAGGAAAGCGGATTTTCTCTTTAGCTGTAGTACAGGGGAAGGATTGGGACAGGGGCGCGGCCAGAGGCAGGAGGGAAATAATGGGGACTTTAATAAAGGCAGGAGCCCTAGGGACAGAGAGGGTGGAGGGATTTGAGAGCTGTGAGGTGGAACTGGCTACACTTTGGGATTGCTTGGATGGGGAAGGAGAGGGAAGGAAGGGCAGAAGTCGACGATGATGCTCTGGCTTTTGACTTGGACATTTGGAAGGTGGTCCCAGTGACATGAAAGAGTCAGATGGGATGAGATGGGAACTTTAGTGATTATTTCTTTATGGTTATTATTGGCCTTAGAATATATACCAGTAGGTATATACAGTCAAAATGCTACTTTTTAAAAATCAAATCAACTGATAGAGTTCCTTTCTCAGTGGTGTTATGCCACCTATTTGATATACAAATAGATTTGTTGTTTTCTTCTATTGTCTATGTTTGAAAATATAAGCAAATACATAGACATATATATATATATTTATTTATTTTTCCCATTGTTGCACAAAAGAGAGCAATAAACATTGCTAACCATCTTGCTTTTTTCTCTTAACAATATACGCTGGAGCTCACTCCACACCCGTATAAAACCACATTCTTCATTTTTGTATGGTTGCATATATCTGCACCTACCAGAGTTTATGAACCTTTGGGTTGTTTCCAGCCTTTTGTCATTATTAACAATACTACAGACTGCCCCTAGGCATATATCATTTAGTATTTTTGCAGTGTATCTTTGAGGTAGATTCCTAGAAGAGGGACCTCTGAGTCCAAGTGAGTGGCAGATGTCATTTTCCAGCTTTTGCCAAATTCTTCTCCATGCATTTGGCGCCCACCCCCGCAGTGTCTGAGGGCACCGTGTTCCCAAAGCCTGGCAGCAGAACGCGTCGTTCGGGCTGCTTGCCAATCTTAAAGGTGGGAAACGGGATCTCAGTACGGTTTTAGTTTGCATTTCTATCATCATGATAGAAATCATGATGATCTTCTCTCTGCGGATGGCAGTGGTACAGGAGGATCAAGGTCCAGGCAACCAATGGCAGGGATGCGATGGTGACTTCCAGTGGCATCTGGTGGCACCAGGGTCTCACTGGACCAATGTGGTTTCCTGCAGTCCTAGGATATGCACCTCTGCAATTGTTTCCCTGGCCCTTCTGGCAACTGTGTGAGCTACCTAGTGTCTTTTTCTTTCTTTTTTACTGATACATAATATTTATGCATATTTATGGAGTGCACATGGTATTTTGTTACAAGCATAGAATGTGTAATGATCAAGTCAGGGCATTTAGGGTATACACAATCTTGAGTATTTATCATTTCTTTTTTTCTTTTTTCTTTTTTTTGAGACAGAGTTTCACTCTGTTGCCAGGGCTAGTGTGCTGTGGTGTCAGCCTAGCTCACAGCAACCTCAAACTCCTGGGTTCAAGCAATCCTTCTGCCTCAGCCTCCCGAGTAGCTGGGACTACAGGCATGCGCCACCATGCCCGGCTAATTTTTTCTGTATATTTTTAGTTAGCCAATTAATTTCTTTCTATTTTTTAGCAGAGATGGGGTCTCGCTCTTGCTCAGGCTGGTCTAGAACTCCTGACCATGAATGACCCACCCGCCTGGGCCTCCCAGAGTGCCAGGATTACAGATGTGAGCCACCGGGCCAAATAGTATTTATCATTTCTATACCTAGTGTCTTTTAAATGTAGCCTCATTCAGCTTAATTGCCCGGCTGGTTTTTGTGGCTTGCACCTAAGGACCCTGATGTGACTGAGCTGGAAGAGAGCATTGGCTGGCCTTCGGGAGGGCAGACTCAGCCCCTCTGGGTGGCAGTCAGATAGGGAATTAAAGAAGGAGAATTGGCAGGTGAGTGAAGATGGCCTTTGGAAGGCACAGTGACCTCACAGGGACCCAGTTATAGGCCATATGACCTACTGGAATTTGACAAATCATACAGTCATACCTGGGCATCCATGGGGGGTTGTTTACAGGACCTCCATGGATACCCAAATGCACAGATGCCCAAGTCCCTTAGTCAGCCCTGCAGAACCTCGGGGTTCCACATCCATGCATACCGTATCTTCCATCCACAGTGGGTTGAATCCATGGATGCCGAACCCACAAATATGCAGGGCTGACTATTTCAGCTATTCATCTTCTCTGGTAGGAGGGGGCCCTGGAAGAGGGGAAGCGAAATCAGGATGGTGTGGGAAGAAGGCTGCGAGTCTCTCTCCTACAGAAACCACACGAATACACTATCGGCCAAGGAAAAGCTAATTTCAGCCAAAAGCAAACAAGCATACTATCAGCTCAGAGAAATGTTGTTTATCTCAAGCAGTTCAGAAGCCTGGATCATTCATTCATTCATTCATTCACTCATTCACTCGAATAATATTTATTGAACACTTACTATGTTGCCAGGCACTGCATTAGGTGCTGAGGATATAATGGTGAACAAGATATAGTCCCTGACTTAAATCTATCATAGGAAAACAGACAATAGGCTGTTGACACCGAGCATGACGTATGCAATGGTAGGGATACGCCAAGCGAAGTTATGGGAAAGTAAAGTAATGATGATAGCTCATATTTTGTGGGTACCTTATATGTGCCTGGCACTTTACAGACGATAATTCAATTTAAAGGTGAAAACAGTCCTAAGAGGTAGGTATAATTTTTAATCCCAGTGTGACAGATAAGGACACTGAGGTACAGAGAGCTTGAGAAATTTGCTCAAGGACACACAGCTGAACAATGGCAGAGCCAGAATTGAGTTCTTGGTTTTGAAAAGTGGGGTTGAATTATTTCTGCTTTTTCTCACTATCCCCTAGCCCCTCAAAAGACAACGTTTCTAAAATGGTCCTCGCTAGGAAGTCACTCAGGTCTCTCTGGTGTGGCCTGCTGGTGACACTCGCAGGGTAAGCCTCTTGTTAGGCATTTGGGTTGTTTCCAATGGCATACTTTGGTTGTAGAAATACATGACATAGATTATTTAATGGCACAGGAAAATATTTACTATCGATTATTAAATTAAAAAGTAGGTTACAAAAGCAGAATGCACAGTATATAGTATAAGCCTAATTTAAAAAATGCATGTGTTTATACTCAGAGTGTTAGCAATACTTTTTTCTGAATGATGGGATCTTAGGTTTTTTTTTTATCTAATTCTTTTTGCTAGTCTGAATTTTCTAAATATTCCACAATAAACATGTAACACATCTACATAAAGAAAAAAATATATTATATTAATAGATTCTTCCTTTTCCTAATCATGTTACTATAAAACATCAGCCACTAACTGGGAAGATGTTGCAGACCACCCCCCTAAACTTCCCAGTCTGAATTCTGGTGACTCTGCCATTTTCCTTGATATGACCAGTTTTTCCTAGGGGCTTTGACACCTTTCTGGGTCCAGAAGCACTTAGTGGAGACAGGGCCCAAGAGAAGGTGCAGTCTTTCTCTCTCATGCAGCCGACCAGAACCTGCAAGTGCTTAGCCTAACACTCCTCTTCTTGGGAATGTTTCAGGTTGTACCATCTTTGAAAACTGCAAGAGCTGCCGAAACGGTTCGTGGGGGGGTACTCTGGACGACTTCTACGTGAAGGGGTTCTACTGCGCAGAATGCCGGGCGGGCTGGTACGGAGGAGACTGCATGCGTAAGTAGACCTTGAGCCAGCTCCGCCTCTAGCGCACGCTGGTGTAAAGTGTAAACTCTTGGCTTACAAGGGGCTAAGATTTATCTTTATTTTATTTTATTTTTGAGACAGAGTCTTGCTCTCTTGCCCCAGCTAGAGTGGTGCAGTGGCATCATCATAGCTCACTGCAACCTCAAACTCCTGGGCAATCCTCCTGCTTCAGCCTCCTAAGTAGCTGGGACTACAGGACTACACCACCATGCCTGGCTCATTTTTCTATTTTTAGGAGAGACAGGAGAGACCTGCTCTTGCTCAGGCTGGTCTCTAATATTTATCTTGTTGGAATCTGAGTTCTGGGAATCTTGTGGCCAGAGGGTTTTCTAGGTAAGACTATAAAAACAAAGATGTGTTTCCATCTGGGGTGTGTGGATTGTGAACATTGGTTTGAATTGTTGGTCACAGGAGGTTTATATCTGCTCTTCAATCTCCCTTTTGTAAGGGAAGTGAAGGCATTCTGCACATAGCATGCCTGTGTCCATTCCAGAGCACTTATGTGGCAGCCCTGGTCAGCAAACAGTGAATAGGCTTCAGAAATGTTGTCTGTAGAGCATTTTACTTACACATGTCTGTTGGTAAATTTCTTGAATCCTGAGTTAAATTCCTGGAACCCACAGCAAATTGCTAGCATGCCATTTGTCCCATGAAAAGGGTTCTTTCTGGGAGCTACTTGATCTTAAAGAATTACTTAATCTTTATAAAAGTTCTCTTGTGAGTTTCAATAATTCTTTGACAATGGAATGGAAATCTAAGCTCGTGCTCAGTCTAGATTCCCCTCTGCCGTGCCCTGAAGGATGAATATCCCTCTAAGAGTCTGTGTCTGCAGCAATGTACACATTGCTATTATTTCATTAAGCTTATTTAATATGCTTTGATTTGAACCAGAAATAGTCAGAATGGTCTTACAGTCTAATTTCACTCCTGTGGATGATATTTCCAGTTTACAGAGATAGAAGATGGAGTATGATTGGTAATCTTTGCCTGATCCAATCTGTAGTGAAATGCCACCAGTTTTAAGACTCTATGGCTAAGGATGACGTGTATGGTCTACAGCTGAGAAGCCCAACTATCCCAACAGGTGAAGGAGTTTATTGGCACTTCAGGGTGAGCCTGGGAGTTAAATTATCCAGAATACGGAAAAGTTTTAAAGTGTTGGTCTCAATAGCAGATTTAAAACCTCAATGCCATTTTAGGTGGTTTCTAGTAAAATTTAATTTAGTACTTGGAAGATGATGTACCAGGTAGGTTAGCTGCAAGATTTAACCCTGATCTTTCTTTGGCAACTGTTCTAATGAAAACTGTATTATATAATGATCAGAACGCAAGCTCTGGAATGACACAGACCTGGGTTTGAATAATGGCTTTGCCCGTCACTACCAGTGCGACCTTGGCCACGTCATAAAAAATGGGAATAATGCTCCCTACTTTAGAAGGCTGACTTGAGGGTTAAATGAGATAATGTGTGTGGAGCACTTAGTGCTCTGCCTGGTAATATTAAAACCCAATTAATGCAATCAATATGTCAGTATTCCATAGGCTTCTTAATTGCTGAGTTGATAGGTGGTCCAGAAATAAAAACTACTTTCAATAATAGTTTAAGAGAGACATAATTGGAGTTATAGTGCACCACTTTAGCTTTCACATTGAACTTTGGACTATACGAGATCACTTTGGGTTTTTCCCTGTTTGGGATCATATATTAGGTTACTTTTTCTCTGCGTACGTGAATGGGAAAGGGGAATTTGATGGGTTGGAGTGGTGGATGGGGGTGTGGTCACGCATGGTCTTGTAGGTAGGGAAGTTAGGTGAGGAACTCAGTTGTCATCCAAGTGTTGTGGGAAGCCAAGGAAGAGTGGCGAAGTAGGGTGTGGACCAAGTGCTCTGAGAACTAGATAAGAGAGTAGTTATGGCAGGGACTCAGGGGGAGAGAAAGTGTCAGAGAGGGAGGTGATGGTTGAGCTATGCCTGTGCTCGGATGTGGGTGAAATGGGAAGCTACTGCGGGCAGAGGCAATAGAATGGTCAGGGTGTGAGAATGCGAGGTACGTTCAGGGAAGCATGTGACATCAGGTGTGATTAGAGTGCGGTGACGGTGTTAGGGGCGGGTAGGCAGTGACAGTGGAAAGCTGGTAAGCTTTGGCTGTGAAAGGCGTAGTGTGCCAGGACTCAGACCTCGGACTCTGTCCTGAGGATGGTGGTTGGTGTGCATTGGATGGTCAATCAGGGCAGTGACATTTGACAGGTGACTCCAGCGGTGTCTGGAGGATACACTGCAGCGGAGGCAAGACCACACTCAAAGGTAGCAGTTAGGAGCATGATTTCAGTGGTTCCGGGGATGGAGAAGGGCAAAGGTAGAAGTGACAGGACACAATGACACGCTGAATGTGGAGGTGAGGAATCTTGCGTTTACCTTTCAAGTTCCTAGTTTGACCGGCTCTATAGATCAGCTGTTAAGAGAATAATAAATGAGAAGAGGTTTGGTGGGGGGAAAAGGTGAGTTCCACTTGAGATGCGCTGGACTTTGAACATCTAGGAGAGACCCTGTAGACAGTTGGAAATAGGTGCCTAGAGCTCAAGAGAACTTTGGAGACTTGAGATATACATACAGGGGTGACAGGCCGAAGCATGAGATGAACAGAGTGCCGAGGGCAGAGGGGAGAACAGCAAACATACATGGAAAATCAGAGAAGACAGGGAAGGAGATGAGAAAGGACAGTTAAAGGGGTGGGAAGAGCACCAGGAGGAAAGAGGGTTCTGGAAGCTGGGGCAGAGTGGTTCAAAATAAGGGAGCAAGATCAAGTGGGATAAGGAGATAAAGAAGATTTTGTATTTGACGGCTAGCAGGTGACCGGTGACCTTAGCAATGGCAGTTTCATGTAAAGAAAGATTCGAAGGGGAGAAAATGGAGACAAAGAGTAGATACAATTTTCAAATTAGCTTAATCAAGCAGGGGAGGGAAACATAAGGTGAGAGTTTACACGAGTAAATAGAGTTGTGGAAAAATACAGATTAAGACAGGAAAGACTTGAGCAGGGTTGTAAGCTGATGTGGGGAAGTGTCAATAAAAGTATTAATAGAAGCTGAAGATGTGAGAGTGAAAATAGTTGAAGTCGCGTGGGAGTGAGATGAAGAACAAAGGTGAAGAGTAAAGGAGGGGGAGTTTCTTACTTCTGTTCTAGGTTGAGGTAGGAGGGAAAGAATTATTTATAAGTAACATACATCCACTTGTTAGCCATTATATAGTAGGAACAGTACTTTATGTCCAGTGTTTTATTTGGTCCGTGCCATTACCCCATGAAATCTGTACCCCCATTTTATAGATGATGACACTGAGGCTCAGAATGTGAAGTAACGTTTAGGGAGAAAGCTCAGGGTGATTGCAGACCACTTGTTCTTGTTCTAATGCCCAGTCCTAGCCTGCCTCCCACTGGTGGGTTCCCCCTCACAGTTCTATTTTCTGTAGAGCTATTAGAGGCTGTGCTTGCGAGTATCGAAGCTTCGGGGCAGCCGCATGAGGATAAGAAAAGTCACCGGTTAGTGATAAGATACAGCATGTCCCAGCAAGACTGAGGACCCAGCTGAAGCTGGAGCTCCTGTGCAGGTGACACAGTCAGGTGGGACAGCTGAGAGACGCTCTCCAGAAGCGTGGTTGCAGAGGTGAGTAAAACCAATCGTTTGGTTGATCCAAGAGTTGGCTAAGATGTGACTGACCAAGATCCCAGTTGGGAAGGATGTGAAACCAGAAAGAGCCTGGGAGGGGGAGAGAACAGGGACTGGACCAGAAACACAGACCTGGTGGTAATAAAGTAACGGAGCATGTGGATAGAGGGGTATTATGGTCAGAGAATAGAAGTTCTAGGTTGAAGCTTTCAGGGGTGGTGGTGAGGATGATGTGTTCATATATGTCAGTCCATGTTTGCTGTGTAACAATCTCAAAAGGACACATATGTTTGTTTTTCTTTATCGTGGTTCTGTGGGTCGGCAGGGGTTCAAGCATTTTCACCTGGGCCGGGCTGGCTGAACTCTGAGCTGCAGGGCTCGGGCAGGGGGGCAGCAGCTACGTGGGACATGAACTTCTCAGGGTGGGTTGTGGAAGCACAAGAGGCCAAGCCTTGCTGTTAAAGGCACACTTATGGCCTCTGCTCACATCACATTCACTCACGTTCCATGGGCAAAAGAACTCACGTGGCTAATCTCCAAATCAGTGGAGTAGGGAAGTATGCTCCATCCAAAAGTGGCTCGAGGGGTGATTACAAATACAAATATTTCCTAAACAGCACTCCAGTCACCCCATGTGAGTAAGAGGGTTTGACCAGGAGACAGGGTAAAGGAGGAGAAGAGTATTTCCACGCAGGAGGTCAATAAAGCAAATGGGAATGAGACAGAATGATTGCAGTTGCCCAAAGAAATCCCATACGTGTGCCTTTCCAAATAGCACCTGTTGGTTGAGTCTTGGGTTGAACTTCAGTGCATGATGCAGCTGTACATGGAGTCTATTTGGTTGGGCTGGTGAGGGTGTCCATGTGTAAGATCGAGGCTTTCTCAAGGACAGCAGAGCTGGCTCAGGGCAACCAGTCATCACTACTAGGCAAGCAGAGCAGAGAGCTAATGCCTTCATTCATTAATCTCCCATCCATTCAGAAAATATTTCTTGAATGGATGCTCCCAGCTGCTGGCCGTAGAACAATAAGCAGGACAGATGTAGTCCCTGCCATCTTGGAGCTTGCAGTTTAGAGAGGTGAAATCCCCCACCGTCTGCCCCAACACCAGCCAAAAAAAAAAAAAAAAAAAGTAAAAAGAAATTTGGAGCGTGGTCAAGGCTATGAAATGAACAAATAGACTAATGGTCAGATTCCTGTCTGATTCTGTGTTGGCTCGGTGGTGCTTGCTTGCTCCCATTATGCTTGTTCTGAAAGCCTAATCACACACAGTGTATGTTACCATAGCCGTAGGCATTGATGGAGC